ACCAGAATCTTGAAGTAGACTGAATTCGACAGAGAAGCCAATGCAGCTGTATTAGCAACGGTGTCACATGTGAGTAGTTAGATGTTTTGGTCAGAAGTCTTGAGCAGCGTTTTGAACAATCTGCAGACGCTCCAAAGAGTTTTTGTTTAAACATGTAAACAGTGAATTACAGTAGTCCAGTCTTGATGAAATGAAAGCATGAATGACAATCTCCAGTTCAGTGAGAGATACAATGGGGCTTAGTTTGAAAAAGGTTTCTTAAGTGACAAAAGAAAGACTGAACCAAAGATTTGACGTGAACATCCAAAGTGAGAGCTGGGTCGAAGATTACCCCTAGGTTCCTGATAGATGATTTCAGAAATGTTGCAAGAGGACCAAGAGCATTCATTATCTTAGGTACATGTCTGTCAGGATCACATACAAGGACTTCAGTCTTTCCTTCGTTAAGTTGGAGGAAGTTGTCAGCCATCCAAACTTTAACAGATTCTAAGCACTCATTCAAAATCTGCAGCTTAGAAACATCTTGGGGCTTGAAAGAAATGTATAACTGAATATCGTCGGCGTAGCAATGGTAGCAAATGTCCTCAAAGGGGCTCAAAATATGCTGGAGGGGAAGTAGATATATTAAAATCAATAAAGGTCCCAGCACAGAGCCTTGTGGCACACCACACGACAGAGATGTGGAAGATGACCTGTATTTAGAAACTGCCACAAAAAAGTAATGTTCATACAGATATGATGAGAACCACTCTAAGGCAGATCCAGATACACCAACCAAGTATTTCAGCCTTTCAAGTAGGATGTGATGGTCAACAGTGTAAAAGGCCAATGTGAGATCCAACATCACCAGAACAGAACATTTTCCTGCATAGTTTTGCATCAAAATGTCAATGGAGACCTTAAGAAGGGCTGTTTCAGTAGAATGGGTACTACGAAAGCCAGGCTGAAATTTGTAAATTTGTGTGTCAATGTAGTTAGAAAGCACTAAGTATAGAGAAAGTGCTTGTGTGATTGGGTGAATCTGGCATGTTGTATACAGCGCTTTAAGTACTCTGGGAAAGTAGAAAAGCTCTATGTAAGAATCAGTCCATTTACCATTTACTAAATGTCTTCAAGCAACTTAAAGAAGTCCAGACACTTTTCTTTCCAAGCTCCTTAGAATACGATAACCTGGATGACTGAGAACCTTCACAGACATACTCTCTCAAGAATGTTTTTCCAAGAACTGTGCTGGCTTTTTTAGATATTTTTCAGCAAAGTCCAATCTAGCCTTTCTATTCTTGAGGGTTTTGAGTTGCTCACACCTTGCAGTGAACCTTCTGATCACTGGAGGCTGTTGTTCACTTGGTTGGCTGTTGCAAAAGGGTTTCTCTTCACCATGGAAATGATTCTGCGATCATCCACCACTGCTGTCTTCCTTATACATCCAGGCCTACATGGGGATGAAACAAGCATTGCTTGTTTTACCTGCATGGACAGCTTCTTTGATACATGTTGTCTGTTCACAGCAAAATCTTTTAAATGCAAGCACCACACCTTAGATCAACTCCAGGCATTTTATCTGCTTAATTGATAACAGCATAATAAAGGAACTGCCCATGAAATAGTCTTTGAGGCAACTGTCCCATTACTTTTGGTCCCTTTGAAAAGAGGGTGGCGCATGTTAAGAAGCTAAAACTCCAAAACCCTTCATCCAAATTAAATGTGGGCACCCTCAAATGACAGCTGGGAATCTACACATTATGTCCATGTCCATTAAATAACTATAACTGGAATATGTTTCAGTAAACAGGTAAAAAACCAAAACTTTTGTTAGTGACCAAATATATTTGACCTCACTGTATATCAGTTAGAGGTCAAAATCACCTGGCACCTTATGATACATTATTATTATTACAATACTTTGTTCACTATTCGATATTACTGCAATTTTTAATATATTGTCATATGCTGAGTATGACAATAAAATAGATTGTCTCCCACCTGTGTTTTTTCTCTGGAAATGAACACTAGTAGATAATAGGTCGACAGAGCTGGCAAAGTTGGTAGACATATACAGTCTATACAAGATGCAATATTTGTTCAATACATATTTCTTTGTAGTGGAAAAAAACATTAAAATTATCAAGAACAATATAACAATGATTTCTAGAACTTTGTGTATATAATTTGACATTTCTTATCGATGTAGGCTGATAGTAAGCACACACTACCATTTCATTTAGTGTAATGGTTTATGTGCAAGACACAAGAACAGAAAACATTGAAAGTTACAAATGTATTGTGCATGAAACAGGAATTAAAACGTGGTGATAGAGGCAGGTGCAGATGCGTGTCACAAGTTACTCTCGATTTGGCTATGGTACTTGGCCACAGGTGGCGCTAGCTGACGCAACTCTGTTTGAGTACACACAAAGTAAACTGCACGCTTACTTTGGTCTCACTAGTTGTGAGACCAAAAACGCTGAAATCTGAGTAATAAAAATGTATGAGGGAAATGATAACGAAGACAAGATTTTCCAGATGGTTGACTCTTGCTGTCTAGTGAAAAGCATAGTGAGGTTTGTCTTGTATTATGTTCATATGGACAAGTCAGAGAGATACACGTTTTGAAAAGACTAGGAACAGGCGCATCTAGTACACGTAGGGCGGCCGCAAAAATGACGTACAAGCAGAGCGCAGCGGCCAGCCAGCGCAACCCAACAAATTTTGGGTCCTTCACTCTAGTTAGCAGTGAGCGCAGCACACGCCACGTCCGATATGAAAGGGTCTTTAAGATGACAGGAGCGCTGATATAAACAAACTGAAGCAAGAGCGGCAGAGGCTGCGTGGGCTGATCCGCTCCCTGGAGAGTGACATTGAAGACCTGAAGAGGCAGAACTCTGGACATGAAAAGACCAGTCAGGACAAGGATCACATTATCTTGTGTTTGAAGAGAAGGAATCAGGAACTGGAGAAGTTAAAGTTTGTTCTTGAATTCCAGCTGAAAAGCAGAAAACTGAGCCTCTGCAACATGACATCATTGTGAAGAAGGAGCGGATCAGTCAGGTGGAGGAAGAGCTGATACAAACCGACATGAGCAATGCTCAGCTGAAGCTCACCGTCTCTGAGCTGAAGCTCAAACTGAAGACCAGAGACAAAGAGATGTGCAAAGAGAGTCAGAAGGTCAAAGATTTGGAGACGTGTCTCCAGTGATTGAAATCAGACCTGGACAATTGTGTCGGCTTCATCCAGGAGCCTAAAACCCTGAAGGACAACATACAGATGATATACGCTCGATGTGTCCAGCAGACTGAAAGGGTGGAGAGAACCAGTGCAGATGATACTGTTCAGAAGGCGCTGCGTCACCAGTGTGATCGACAGGAGAGGACAGTAAATGGCCTCAAAATGAGGCTGGTCAAATCTGCAGAGGAGCACGAAAAGGTCTACACCAAAATCATGAAGGAAACATGACTCTGATAGCTGCAATCAACAAGCTGTGGAAGGAGCTGCATTTGGCCAGGACTCAGGCTAAAGACGTCAAAGATCAGCTGGCTCTTTTAAAGAAGCCCAAGAAGTCACAGCCCATCTTAGAAGAAGCAGCCTACCAGGAGCCCCAACAGCTAGGAGTCAGCTGATAGTCTTTTACCTCAGCAATAGCTCTGCAACTAACACACAGCAGCAGATACACATATAAGAAGAAAGTTGTTAGTATGATTGTTGTATTCATTCTTAATGTAAATTGATGATGAATGTGTGGATTTGTATGTTACCATAGCAATTTACTGCAGAAAACAATCATATTGATAAAGGTTTGATCACTGACCTGTAAAAAAATAAAAAATAAATGAAAGGGCCTTTAAACAAGATGGGGCGATAGTCAAACTGACCAGCAGATGTCACTGTGGACATGGGTTTCAGATGTTTTCAAAGCCTCGATACAATTCGGTTGTATGTTTGTTGATAAGCTGATATTAACACTGTCTAAAGGAGGATTATTATTCCTTACAATGATCTTGTGATTTTTATTCTCTCACTGACAAATTTAAAGAAACTGCGCTAAAAATTAAACGGAAATCTGAACTAGCCAATCATTGTAGTTGCAGCTGCTTTGACCAGACGTGTGTTTACAATTCTCAGGAGCCAAGTAATGTTCTGACACAGAGCCTGCACGTCACCTCTTGCAGGTATGTCGGGACTCACCAGTAGCAGCTCGTGTACACGCAGTCCTCGCGCATCGGAACGAGTCTCCGATTCATGATCGGGTGTTACACTGAAAGAGCTCCAAGGGAAACGGACTGACGCCAAATCCGCTAAGGAAAGGGGACTTTCAAATTAAAAGCATCGACAAAGTAACAGTAAGACTGGGGTCCCACTGCTAATTTCACTTCGCTGCCGCCACAAGAAATTAGCTTCAGTGTTCCCTTAGTTACCTCCTACATTAGAGACGCTGCATCCTTCATGAAAGGAGAACACCGTTTACAGCAAAGCACTATGAGAGAAACAAACTGACCTCTGAACCTGTTAGCTAGCTTAGATTTTCAGAGAATAACTACTTTAGCAGTATACAGTCCCCATTCACTCAGCTTAACTCCTTCTGCTCAGCACCATAAATCATCAGAAAAGACTTGTTTTTCATTAATTCTCTTAGAAATTTTAATTTTTGTAAACATCTGTACTGCAAATTTCGCAAGTTTTAATTAGATTTTTGATAAAATACTTTATCAAACTGAACTGAACAAATATGTTCATATCAAATTGATTATACAGTGAACTAAAAACTACATGAGTGAAATTTTCTCACTGAAATATAAATAAAATCAAGACAGATCTGGATCATCACTCCATAAACTAATTCAAAACAAGCTAACGAGCAAATTAAAACTAGAATAACTGTGGTGAGATGGGCGGAGTTCACAGGGGGTCCAGGCTCCTCAGCTAACTCTGTAAATATGGCTGTCATGATATCTGAACTTAACATCTTAAACCTGATCGATCACCCACAAATAGCCAATTATGCATGTTTTTATTCACCTTTAATGGCCCTAGACAGGAAAGGGATGTTGATGATGACTGCTGATCAATATCAGCTCCTTTCACCAGACTGACAGCATACACACATACACTCAAAAACAGTTCAGTTTATTCAAAAAGGAACTGACATCACAGCAAGGAGACCAGTGAGGCAAGGACTCATGGTGTCACATGTTAAGACATTGTGTCTGAAAGTAAAAACATTAGAAAAACGGCATCTGTGGTTGCTAAGCATGTTGCTATGTGAAGAGGCGGATAGTAGCATCAGCGCCAGAGGAGAAGACCCAGGGTTGCGTGGGGTGAAAGGTCACATCCAGAACACCAAGATCATGAGTCATCACATGACCTCTGAGGACTTTCACTGGGACGATGAGTGGATTCTGCAAAAGGTCACTGTGGAGGTAGCAAGGAGGGGTTAGAGTGTAACTGAGAGCAGGAAAAATAAATGTGTGTGTGTGTGTGTGTGTGTGTGTATTACTTGTAAACAGTCCCGTGACAGACTATCACTGAGCCATCATCAGACGCCGAGGCAAACAGCGGGTACAGTCTGTGATAGGCCACACCCCTCACTGCTTTCTTATGGTGTCTGCAGAGAGAAGGTGATCCATACCACATGATAAATGATTAAAAACAAACAAAAGAGAACAACATCTGATCAATATGTAGTATTCTACAATCAATGATGACACACCAATGTCAGCGTCATGATTGAGTAAACATGCTTGGAGACCACTCCGAACCAATCACAGCTCTGATTTGTTTGAGGTGAGACTCAGGTAAGGTCTTTGTTTGCTCAGCAGGATTTAAACTCCTCACCTTCCTGGTGCACGTCTGACTGAAATCTCATTTCCTGAACTGCTGCACCTGCTGGGCTGTGAAGGCACTGCAGATCTTTTTTTTTTTTTTTTTGTCAATTTAAACAATGCTGCTTTATGTACAAATCAGCTCTGGCTATGCAAAATTCTGTTGGCAGCAATGTATAAAATGTGAAAAATACAAGCTGAACACAAGAGGGAGCATTATAAAGTAAAATAAAGAGCTATAATCATTTTAAAACCAGGATACCATACAAATAAACTACATGGCAGTTCTGAATAGAGAGTAATTCACACTTTTCTTAGGGTTTAAATGTAAACCAGACACTTCAGAAAATATGTGGATTTTATTGATGACAAGAGGGATTTGTTCTGACCTTTTGAGGAAAACTGTAGTATCATCTGCCAGCTGAGTGCTTAGGTCTATACATGTGACATTGTGATTTTCATAACAGTCACAGCTTGTGTGACCGTTGCGCAGTGGTTGTGGTTTCATTGTCAGAGTTAGGCACATCAAATGTAGCAGAAATGAATTATTTTAGATTCATGCACTGAATTCCACTTTCATACCAGCTGTATAGTGTCTAATATAAAGAGAGCATAAACAGTGATGGTAATTACCCAGGACAACTCAAACTCACAAAACACTTGTTAAATTTAGGTGTGTAAAGAGCAGTAAACCTCAGAGCAGCAGTGGTCCAGATCAGCTGATCACAGCCTGTGGACTAAGAAAATCTACTGGAGCTTTCAATAGAAATTATTGTGAACTGTGATTGTTTTCCTCACACTTGAACTACTGCAACAAGCCTTTAACCACCCACCTCACCAATGTGAGCTATGGTCTCAGTAACCCCCATCACTCAGGCCACTCAAACATGGACTCTATTCAGTCTTTTTCTTTGCACTACTTTGAAGCGCTTTGCTAGTTGTTCTCTAATTTGGGCTTTTCTATGTGCCTCCCACTTTAACATCTTCTTTACTTCCTTACTCATTTTCTGTTTAGAGATAAAGTCACATTCTACAATGTAGACAACAGAAAATAGAGCAATTTTCCCCCTTCTTATTCCTCTGCTTATGTTCTACTTAACTGATTCAAGCTGAGCGCATTTATTAAAATTGAGACTAACATGAAGTTTGTATTCCCATCTAGTAATATTATTTTATTATTGTATTAATATAGCAAAGGGTTTATTTAGTTTTGCAGAAAAATAGGTGGTCGAAATGTTCTTTAAGGAGCTACTTTTCAGAGCCTGTACTTTTTCTGTTTTACTTGAATAAAGAAGTTGAATCAGTACTTTTACAGGAGTACTTTTTAAAATACTAGTACCTGTACTCCTAAAGTACAGAATGTCTGTACTTTTGCCACCTCTGCCCAACCAAACCCAAATCAGCCTCCTCCAAAAGGCTCTTCAGCCACAATCTCTCCAAATCTGTAATTAATCTTATAAATATTCACTTGTTAACTCTTAACCCACCTGTGCTTTCCCTTTACTCAGCATTGATGCAGATGCAGCTGTCTGTGAATCTACTTAATTTATAACTTCTGACAAAGTCTAGTCTAGCTGTGTTAGATAATCACTCTATCAACACCACCATCTGTAGGGGACTGCATAAACCTGCAATATTTGTAACCTTGAGAGTTACAGCCACCATTTGAAGAAACTCTGACCTCCATTCTGGAGATCAGGTCTGAACGAAGACAGGAGCACTCAAGGTCACCTGTAGCTGACCAAGACATTGCTTCCATTGTAACAATTCACAAAGCGGTAATGTTGACAGCTCATGTCTAAAAGGGTTAAACTCAGATGATCAGAGTGACTGGCAGGTACGTACCGGAGCATCTTGTAGGGTTTAGTTGACAGATCGAGGTCAAACCAGCTCAGCTTACAGTCATAACTCCCACAGATCACATGATCACCTGCAGACACACGAACAGACAGGTGGGACAGCTGTGAAGAGAATACTGCTCGTATAAATACAGATGACTTTAGGCTGAAAGCAACTGCGGTGAGTGAAACGACCATTGCGGCGGGTTTATTGGAGCCTTTAAGACTTGTGTGTGGGGGACTGGGGTGTGGTTACCTCCTGGATGGACAGCCATGCTGGAGATCCACTTGGAGTTGGTTTGGAGTTTTTTAGTCATTTCTTGTTTGACGAGGTTGTAGATGCGGATCGAGCGCTGTGTGGCCACAAAGAAATAGGGCCTGATTGGGTGGAAGGATACGCACTGGACCAGGCCTTTGTTCTTGCTGAAGGGGTTCTGACTCCGCCTCCGGCTCAGCTGGTGGATATACACCTGCAGGTGGCTTGTGTTATCTGGCATCACTGATGCTAGGTAGTCTCCTTTAGCATGCCACACCACCTGGTGAACAGCCTGCAGAGATCAACAGCGATTAGGCCAGATGTGGATCAGAGTGGGGGGTTTAAAACCAAATGAATAAATTAACCAATCAGGTGGTTTTCTCACTTTGGGGTGTTGGATTTTGAGGCGGAGCCCCTGGTTTAGCTCTTCCCCCTCAGCCTCGCTCCAGACAACAGACCCATTTCCTTCTGCTGGCTCCTCCCCCTCCTGCTGGGCACTGAGGAGTCGTTCTGACGACAAGGTGACCTGTTTATCTGCCAGAGAGGGAGACAGGATCAAGACCACAGAGTCCCTGAAACCAGAGAGAAACAGAGGGACAGGATCACATCAGTGGGAGGGGAGGGATGAGTTTAAAATCCTGCTTGTTTCTAGAGTATTTAAAAGTATAATGGGAGGCAGAGCCTTAAGCTTTCAGATCTCCCTCTGTGGAAGCAGCTCCCAGTTTGGATTCAGGAGAGAGAAACACTCTCTACTTTTAACATTAGGCTTAAAAGTTTTCTTCTTGATAAAGCATATAGTTGGGTCTGGATCAGGTGACCCTGAATCCTTCCTTAGTTGCGCTGCAATCGTGCTCATAAAGTTGGATGTCCACAACAACAAAAAACCCAGTTTAAACCATCATTAGAAATCACTGAATTAAATTATTAATACATGCTCTCTTCCTCATAT